TTTATGTTTATTTCCTAATTTTTTATGGTGGTTGCGAGATCGGTCAAATTTAACAAACCTGTATAGATATTAATTACTGAAAATAACAGATAGAATATAAAATTTTTTCGTCAGAAATGTTTGATAATATCTGGATATTATAAAGATTTCACATGTGAAATTTCAAAATTTTCTGATGCATAAAAGTATTTTAATCTTAAAATAAAAATTTCCTTGCATGATAGATAGGCAAAATGTGAAGAAAAAAAAAAGGCATGAGAGAAACATTGCTTTACAAACCTTAAGACTTAATAAAACAAATTAGATATTTTTCATATGAAAGCATTGTAATGTTTACTGATAATCTGCCAAATTTCGTTAACATTCGCTTACTAATTTAAAAGTTGTAGTATGAAAAATGTAACAAGCACAAAATGGCTATAAGGTTGGTCCCGAGCCCAGGTTAAAAGAGTTAATTAAAAAACAAGTTTCTTTTTATTTCACATAAATTGGTCATGGCTTTAGAGGTGAAGTGTTAAATGTATTTTTCATTTGTTTATTTTTACCGGATATTTTTGGTGTATATGTCTTTCCCCAGTCAAAGTTATACAAAATGTATCAGCCCATGCTGAAAGGGTTAATTGGTTTGGATGGAAACATCTCTTGACCTCTACTTGTTGACATTGGTTTAAGCCTCTAAGTCTGTTAACTCCAAGCATAGCGCTACACACCAATTAAAAGTGGTCTTTTCACATATACTCTTCCATTTGTTGCTTCCATTCAAGGTTCTCACTTCTTCTACTATAGTTTCCAATGTCGTAAGTGTTTGTTGATTTCTCTAATGACCTTGCATCTTTCCGACACTAATAAGTTTAACTGCTAGTTTGAATAATGTGTTTCCAGCTGGGCTCACCCTTACTTGGTAAACTTACATGTTATTTCGCATCAACAGTTTTTAAATTTTTATAATCTTTCTTGGTCTGCTGTTTTTCTTTTAAGTCTCTTCTATTTTATTCCTTATTCAAAGATTTATATTTCTTTCTGCGCTCTTTATCTACATTATTTTTGCATACTGTATATATAAGAATAGAAATATTTAGTAGTTGTGTCTTAGCAGATACTTTAATTTATACCTGTGTTAATACACTATCATAACTTGGTGCTTTGTTTTTACAAAAAAGTAAAGTATTAATAGAAAAGATGAAAAGAAAATTTATTACATTCCTTTTTTAACACACCATGTTGTTATCATGATGATTTCTGAATCTGAGGATCCAGGGTTCACATCCTAATGCACCCCACTATGAGTGTTTTGTAAGTAAGTTTTGTGTGAATATTTGAAAGAAACATTTTTGATGCCATAAAGCATGTGGATTATAAAGAGGTATGGTTTCTCGATTTCTGTTGAGGTTTATCACATTTACATAAAAATATGCTATTGATTTTATTTTTCTGGAGTTGCATTTCACTGTTGCTATTTCAGTGTTATGTATTAATTGTTATGAGTAACAAACAGTGTTATATGTTAAATGTTGTTGTGTCAATGTTATATGTTAATTGTTGCTGTTCTTGTTTTTCTTTTCATTTGCTGCCTAGTCAGTGTTGTATGTTAATTGTTGTTGTTCTTATTTTGTATTTTCAGTTATTACTGAGGCAGTATTGTATGTTAATTGTTATTGTGTCTGTTTCATATAAATTGTTGCTGTGTCAATGTTGTATGTTTATTGTTGGTATTGCTGTGTCAATGTTGTGTGTTAATTGTTGCTATGTCAGAGTTGCATGTTAAGTGTCTGTGTTAGGTTTGTTATTTACTTCTCTTGTATATATCTGATTCCTAAAAGATGCCGAAGATGTTCGAGAAAACTCTCCTAGTGATGTTTTAACTCTAAAGTCTAGAGCTTCCACAATCAGAGACCAGATTCTGAAGGAAAAAAGAAATGCACATGGAAAAGAGGTGAAGGAGACTTTTATTTCTTCTGGTTTAAACCTGGGGAAAATTTAAGTTGGGTTGAAATATAATTTATAGCACAGAAGCAGTATTGTTAAGCAAGAATATGTAAAGATCCATGATCTGTAATATTGATATTTCACGAAAATTGGTTTATAATGAATGAGTATATTATAGCCAGAAAATTGTGTTTAAAATGTGTGCTATTATTTGTTATAAAAACAAATGTCATAAAATAAATTAGAAATAAAAACATGTTTGTAACTTGTTGCATGATGTTAAAAAGTCCTCAAAAACTGCATTTATTAATAGAGTAGCAAGAAATCTGAATGAATAGTGCATGGATGTGAATTAAGAGGTAAACACTTGAGACTCACTGTTTGTATGCTTGATTTATACAGATATATAATTTTTTTGAGGTTTTATGTATTGTCCTGGGTTTGTGTCTTCACCCACTTTATTATAATACAGAAGAAGAAAACTAAACCTTACTCTGCATCAGTGTTTTTTTTTCTTACACAGAAACCTAAAGGGATGTGTCGAAGCCTGGATAAGCAAAAAAAGAAACTTTCAGAATTGGTAAGATTAATGTGAAAAAATAATTATTTCTGTGGATCAATTTAACTCTATTTATATATTTTCTGTAAGGCATCTTTTATTATGAGTTCCAGTTTTAATGTTTTTTAAAGGTTTTTTGTACAGGAGTGTGTTTAACTCAATATCTATTGATTTATAGTATGGATTAGATATTCCAGTAGAAGAGTTAACAGGTGGTTGCTATAGCAACTAATAGCTTACTGTCCCCATCCATTGTTCCTGCTGGGATGAAATCTATATTCATGTTTTTATCTTAAGGTTTGGTACTATAGTTTTAAAAGTATAATGTGCAGGTTCTGTTGCACGCAAGGTTCTACTACATGTTCAGTGTTTTCATGGCAGTGGAATATATGTTTTTGTTCATGCTCTGTTATTGGTCCTAACTGTGTGTTATTTGGTCAATGTATAGTGGAGAGTCAGTTGTTTTTCTTGGCAACCAGCAGCTCATTATCTTAAAAACATTGTCATGTAGAAATTATATTCATGTTAATTTGTGTTTTCAACTAAGCTCTACAGCTGTAAATCTAAAATTTAGACACAGATCATAGTACGTATAGTAAATGATTTTCTGTTTATTACAATTCATTTGATTATTTTAATTGAAATATTGATATTTTTTACCCCTTATTGCATATTCTCCTTATTTATTTATTTACTTAATTTCTTAATTAATAAACATTAAATTTTAGCTGAACTATCTGTATTGGCCTACTTCCCAATTATAGTTAAAGACTAACGTGTTGTAGCAGTTTATCTCGGCTGTTAAGCTACTCTAAAGTTACACTGTCACAGTCATTTAATGGGCTTTCATTGGTCACTAGACACTATTAGGAGAATTATATAAATTTTTGTGAGTACTGGTGTTACACTTTTCCTGGGTCAGAATGGTGATGGTGCATCAAGCTAACAACTAGTTTTTATGTGTTTTGTAAGTAAGTTTTATTCTTTTTTCTTTAATGTTAGGTTCATTAGCAGTAGTGGTTAAAATTTTTAATGTATATTTTTATTATATACTAGCAAAAGTACCTGGATTTGCTCAGATTATTAGGTTGATATATTCTAGATGACTATGTCAGTGTGTGTAATCGAACCTATTTTAGCATAAACAAACAATCAAATATTTTCAACATTTTTATTTCCCAAAAACATAAAAAAGTCTCAAAGGTATGATGATAAAATTATTATAGATGCCTCTATACGTCACATTATAAACCTATGTAAAAGCCAGTGATTTCTTTGGAGCTGTGTCAGTCACACACAGACATGCTTTTTACAAATTTTTTATAAAATTATTATAGTTATATATGCAACGTTATCTAACCTATATAAAAACTAGTTTGTGACATAACGCATCAAGCTTTATCTCTCTTGTTTCTCGAGATAAGAGGAGTCATAAAAGCCAAAGTGCATTTATTCAGTTAGATGTAGATTAGACTGCCCATTACAATAATGAAATTATTATAGCTAATTATAGATGCCACTATATGTCATGTTATCTAACGTATATAAAAGTCACATCATGCGTGACTTATCATGATTTCTCGAAATAAGAGCTGTCATAAAAGCCGAAATGCAATTACTGTCTATCCATTACGATGATGATAAAATTATTAAACATAATTATATATGCTACTATATGTCAAGTTGTCTAACACACAAATATATATAAAAGCCAGTTTGTGTCACGTCACGCTTGATTTTTTCTTGTGGGATAACCTAGCCTAGAGCTAAGTACATAAAGTAAAAATATTGATCCAATTTTAAACTTCAATAATAAAAACAAACCTCTTTAATCAACAGAGACTAAATTATAAAACAGCAAATATATTTTTTTTGAATTTTGTAGTTTATACATTTCATTTTATGCTTTCAACACATGGGCTAACAACAATATTAGATTATACTTTTATTACTAAGCAACATAAGTTAAAAGCTATTGTTAGAATACTCTATTACCAAAATGCTTTGGCTTTTTCTGTATGTTAGAAGTTGTTATACAAGAAACCACTTCTTTTCTATGTGTTTTTTTGCTAGCTTGCCTCATTAAAACGATGCACGTGCATTTCTGTCTATCTGTGATTTCTATTTGTAATATAACGAAATACACCATTAACTAATGTTTGGTACAATTATTGTGACAGTATAGATTCTGAATGACCAACTTATTCATCCCATCATAATGTTCAGAAAAAAAGTTTTCACTGATTTGGTTACCAAAACTAAAATGCCATTGATAAATTAAAAATTCACACTGAATGTTATTAAGAAAAACTATAGTCATTATTAGATAGCTCAGAAAGTGTCACTGCACCAGAAATGTAGTACCAACATTGTTAAAAAGAACAGTGTAATCACTGTTTTCAAAAAGTTGATTTAGCTATTGTTGAGAGAAATAAAATTCACTGACTTGACAACTAAGAAGATATTGTTGATACATCAAAAAGGTTGATTATTCTTGACTTGATAGTACCTCAGAGAATTTTATTCATTTATCAAAACCTTGATAACAATATTCACACTTCTTTTATATGTGATTTTTCTTTGGCTTGCCTGATTAAAAAGATGTGCATGCACATGGATAAGTAATAATACCCAGGTGCACACCCCCAGGGTCCACTTATTACGGGTGCAAAATTTCAGGTGTCTAGATTCTTGGCTCATGGAGCTATGGTGGTCACATATTCTTTTCTATGTGGTTATTTGCTTGCTTAACTCACAAAAAATGTGAACTCACACACATGGATAAGTAACAATACTCAAGTGCACACCCTCATGGTTCACCTAGTATGGGTGCAAAAATTTCAGTTTTCTAGGTTCTTTGCTTTTGAAGCTATGGCTGTCACAGTTCTCTTCTATGTGGATTTTGCTAGCTGGCCTCATAAAAAGATGCAAATGCATGTATGCACATGGATAAGTAATAATACCCAGTTGCACACCCTCAGGGTCCACTTAGTATGGTTGCAAAATTTTAGGTTTCTAGGTTCTGTTCTCTTGGAGCTATGGCCATCAAATTTTTTTCTATGTGGTTTTTCACATAAAAAGATGCGCACGTGCATGCATGTAGATAAGTAATAATACCCAGGTGCAAACCTTCAGGGTCCACATAGTATGGGTGCAAAAATTTCAGGTTTCTAGGTTCTTTCCTCTTGGAGCTATGACAGTCACACATGCACATGCATGTCTCTCTGTGATTTGTATTTGTAATATAAGGAATTACTTCTTTTCTATTCTAGATGACTGTTATACATAATTATATATGTCACTTTATTTAACCTATATAAGCCATTGTGTGTCACATCACTCTTGATTTTTAAACAAATTGTTTCTGAACTAAGTTATTTTCTGTTATATCACCATCATTTGAATAAAAAAACAAACCTCTTCAATCAACAAAGACTAAATTAAGAAATCAACAAATATTTTTTCTAGTTTATACATTTCATTTTATACTTTTGTTGCTATGCAACATGCCATAAAAGCCATTGTTGGAGGGCATCATTACCAAAATGCACTGTCTTTTCTATATATATATTAGATGTTGTTGTTATATAAGAAACCATTTCTTTTCTATGTGGTTTTTGCTAGCTTGCCTCATTAAAATGATGCGCACGTACATGCGTGTTTGCCTGTCTGTGATTTATTTTTGCAGTATAAGAAACCACTTCTTTTTTATGTGGTTTTTCACTAACTTGCCTCACTAAATAGATGCACACATATGTGGATAAGTAATACCCAGGTGAACACTCCCAGAGTCCACTTAGTATGGGTACAAAATTTTAGGTTTCTATGTGGATTTTAGCTCGGGTTATGAAGTTGATAGTGTGTGTATTCTCAACCCATTTTAGCATAAAAGTATAACCTATATACTTTTGTTGCTAAGCAAAATTACATAAATGCCATTGTTTGAATACATTGTTACCAAAATGCACTGGCTATTCTATGTATTTGAAGTATTTATATAAGGAATCATTTTTTTTCTGTGTGTTTTTTTGCTAGCTTTCCTCATTAAAAAAATGTGCATGCATGCACATGGATAAGTAATAATATCCAGGTGTACACCTCAGGGTCCACTTAGTATGGGTGTAAAATTTCAGGTTTTTTGGTTCTTTCCTCTTGGAGCTATGGCAGTCATGCCTACACATATACACACACACACACACACACACACACACACACACACACACACATATATACACACACACACACACACATGCGTGTCTGTTTGTTTGTGATTTCTATTTGTAATATAAGGAACTACTTTTTTCTATGTGATTTTTCTCTAGCTTGCCTCATTAAAAAAGATGGGCATGCACGCACGAATGTAGATAAGTATTATACAGGTGCATTCCTTCAGGTTTCTTGGTACTTTCCTCCTGGAGCTATAGGGGTTAGATAGGCATGCACACGTGTGCACACAGACGTTGTCTGTGATTTTTATTTACAATATAAAGAACCACTTCTTTTCTATGTAGTTTTTTGCAAGCTTGCCTCATTAAAGAGATGTGCATGCATTCACACACATGAACAAGATAAGTAATAATACCCAGGTGCACACTATTGGCGTCCACTTAGTATGAGTGCAAAATTTCAGGTTTCTAGGTTCTTTCCTCTTGGAACTATGGTGGGCACATTTCTTTTCTATGTGCTTTTTTGCTTGCTTACCTCAGAAAAAGATGCACACGTGCACTCACGTGGATAAGTAATAGTACTCAGGTTCACATCCTCAGGGTCCACTTAGTATGGGAGCAAAATTTCAGGTTTCTAGGTTCTTTCTTTTGGAGTTTTGGCGGTCACACACAGACCCACAGACACGGCCTTTTATTATTATAGTGTTTAGTATTATGATTATTTTGCATTGTAAGTATAGTTTTTGGATTTCAGACTAACCTAACTCTAAACTCGCCAAACCTGATGAGATATTGGGATTATGACCAAAAATCATTGTTAAAAGTGAGAGTATCCAACTGATGATTCAGTGCATTTAATAGCTTTACAATTTTTGTTGTATTAACTTTTCATAAGTCTGGTTAAAATGATATATTAAATTAGCTATATTCATTACTGGGTTTGCTTTTAGTTTTTTCCTATGTAGGTAGTATGCTTTGATCAGAAGTTAATGATAATTGGCACAAAATGCTTTATGTATCATCTTGTTTCAAAACATCTAATATAATATGTTTGCTATTAAGAACAAATGCACAAAAACACATTTCTGTATGTCTAGGATCTTTTCCTGGCATGTCTTGAGCATGCCTTTATTATTTTTATTTTTTTTGTGAATTGTTTACAGTATTTGTTATACAGATGTTTTTTATAGAGGGTTCAGTGTGCGTTTGGTATGAATTGTTGACAGTATTTGGTATCAGGATGTTTGCGTGGAGATTTTAGTGTGTTTTAATGGGAAACGTTGACAGCATTTGGTATGTCGGTGTTTGCTTGAAGGCTTAATGTGAAGTGTTGACATAGTTTGGTATATAGATGTGTGTGTTTACTGAAAAACAATTAACTAGTTATGTATGTGTTTGTAAAATTGAAAGGCTTTTATTTGTAGTACACAATAAATTGCAAGTATCACTTAAATAATAATATTTCACCATTATTTATGTTTTAATCAAGGGATCTTAATGTTTATAACTGTTGAATCTCTTATATTATGATTTTTAGGAGGCTCAGTTAGTTCTTTCCTTGCCAAACCTGTTGTTTCGAGTTGGACACAAGAATAACAGGACCTATACCTTCTTTCTTTCATCAGAATTTGACAAAACTCAGTGGATAGAAGCTATCAGTGTACTGCATGCTTCAGGTGAGAGTTACTGTTATAGAAGCTGTAAGTGTACTGCATGCTTCAGGTGAGAGTTACTGTTATAGACGCTGTAAGTGTACTGCATGCTTCAAGTGAGAGTTACTGTTATAGAAGCTGTAAGTGTACTGAACTTCAGGTGAGAGTTACTGTTATAGAAGCTGTAAGTGTACTGAACTTCAGGTGAGAGTTACTGTTATAGAAGCTGTAAGTGTATTGAACTTCAGGTGAGAGTTACTGTTATAGAAGCTGTAAGTGTATTGAACTTCAGGTGAGAGTTACTGTTATAGAAGCTGTAAGTGTATTGAACTTCAGGTTAGGGCTACTGTTGTAGATGGTATCGGTGCCCTGTATAATTTAGGTAAGAGTTTTGGTATTTAAGGCTTACTAAATGGTTAATTTATCCTTCTGTTCAAGTTGTTGTGTTGAAGTAATTTTTAAAAAGGTCATAACCTTATAATTTGAAGCACCTCACTAACAGGTGAATTACTCTTAAGAAATTAATTCTGTAATGTATTTATTTTTGTTTGTTTTACTTTAGAGCTATTAAGTGTAACCCTGGGAATAAGTGTTTTAAAGTTTTGTAACTTAGGTTAATGAATGCAGTCATCTGGGATTTTTCTGGAAACAGTAAAACTCATCTTAATAGATCTTCATGATGATTTATCATTGAAATTACAGAATTTATTATTGAAATGAACATACTGTTTATGTATCAGTCTTTTGATTTTTGTAATATTACTATCATTGTGCTAATGTAGAAAATATAAGTACCATACTGTAGTAATAATAATAATAAAAAAACACAAAAAAACAACAACTTTTCATTGACTAATGCTTCAGTGATGCCAAACCAAGTCTGGATTGTCAGTTTAGGATTAAATGTGTTAAAAATTAACTTTAATTTTTTTCATTTTAGAGTAAATAATTGATATATGACAGAAAGAAATTGGTTTTGAAGCAATTATTGCTGTTACAGGATTCCACAACCCATAAATGTTTCATGTTAAAAATAGAATGGTTGATACTCCAACAGTGAACATGGTATTTGGTGATAATTTCTTTATTACCTCGTAGAGGGATTGAGAATGTTGAAAGGTAAGAAATTACAAAATGCTACAAATATAATCATTAATCTTTCATTTCAAAATGTTGTGTTTTATAGTTTCGATAGAGAGACCCTCACTGAGCCTTTATGAACTTCAGACATGGATCACATCATGTAGGAAAGTAGGTTATTTTTTGTGTGTTTTGCTTCTAACATATAGAACCTAGCAATATTAATATTTCTTGAGAAGTTCAAGAAAAGAGGTATGATAATGTTTGTTACCATATACTGTGCTTTGACTAACAACTGTCAGCATTTCACGGATTATCAGTCCTCCTCTTGCTACTTCTAAGATGTTGTTCACATATAATACAGCTTTTGACTTTATTATTATTAGATATAACTATAGTTACTGAAATATTATAAAAGTTATTGGCATGACCTTATGACCACACAATCTTGTTGAGATAATTTTTATATGCTAATTAATTATAGATTATGTACTTGTATTAAAAGCATTGGCTTTCAGAAGTTTTTCTTCTGTTGTTAAGTGTTAGAAAAGATTGATTATGTTAAAAGTCTCTTTTTGTATTCTATTTTGTATCTACCTCAGCACTATATTTTGTTGGACTAGGTACGCTTTGAATCACAACTAAGTTTTGCTGATTTGAAAAAATAAAAACACATTCAACAATTGTTTTTCTTTTCTAATGCTTTGATTTCCATCTTCAGTATTTGGAGACTAACCTTGGATCATTCCTGTTACGATCTGGTAAGTATCAGAAGACAAGTCTCCGATGATATTTTCCTAAGATACATTCTTAACTCTGTTCCTAACTGGGTCTTAATACACTACATCATGTGACTTGTCACAAAATGTATTTGATGTGTCATTAAAGTCTAAGTAAACTAAAAAGTAGTCTGTTTTCTGACAAGTTTTGTGTTTCACAATAATGTAAAAGCTATGTTTAGAAAAAGCAGCAAAATATTACATACCTGTCTAAAAATCGGGATATTTTGTGAATAAAATTAAAAAAATCAGTTTAAAGATTTTTCAAAAAATGTTTGATTTATCTGCTGATTAGTATAGTAAAATATTCTAAAATACTGAAATGTTTCTTAAAATATGTACTTTGCTTGTAAGAAAATGTTGTGTGAATCAGGTTGTACTTACCCAAAATACTATAAAAACATTTTAATTCATTCAACTTGCTTTTGGCCAGGTGGTTAGGGCGCTTGACTCACAATCTGAGGGTCGCGGGTTCGATTCCCTGTCCCACCAAACATGCTCACCCTTTTAGCTGTGTGATGATCAATCCCACTATTCATTAGTAAAAGAGTTGGCGGTGTGTGGTGACAACTAGCTGCCTTCCCTCTAATCTTACACTGCTAATTAAGGATGGCTAGTGCAAATAGCCCTTGTGTAGCTTTGCACGAAAGTCAGAAACAAGTTTTTCAAATATGACATTATCACAAACCACCATCAATTGAACCTAGATTATTGTGTATCTAGATCTGACAAAGGCCACTTATTCAGGTTGTCAGCTTTAAAAACTATATTCTGTTTAGCAGTTTTTAAACTTAGAAGTCAGATTGATTAGCTTTAGTAAAGTTATCAAAGAACTAAATGGTAATGTTTTAAATGCTTAATGGAGCTAAATTGATGTCCATAAGTTGACCTAATGTTAATTAAGTTATAAAATATAGGGTAGGCCTAATATATGTAAGTTATAATTTGCATGTACGAAGTAGCTCTAATGTTAACTATAGTACAACGTAAGGGTAAACCTAGTGTTAATTAAAGTACAAAATACAGAGTAGGCCTAATGTTAATTCAAGTACACTTTTTGCTGTATTCAAATTTTAGTTAAAAATTTAATTCCAGAATATTGCAGATAAAAACACACATTTAATATTTGTTATATAGAAATAAAACATTTCCTTCTAATTGGATGATTTCATTCATTTCTTATCATATGATTGTTTAAAATTTGCAGTTAATGATTATATTTACCTGTTATTAATGTTATTTGTAATTAGCCCTATATTTATTTTGTTCTTGTATAAACAGGAATTTTATCAAATTATTTTCTGAAAAATCATTGATACTTGTGCCATTATTAATGCTAATATGTAAACTTTCCATCATCTCTCAGATAAAGATGAAGACCTTCTGGTTGGAGATCTTCATATTGTAATTCATCGTCTTCATGGCCTAACTCGTCCATTGGGTAAGTTAAAATATAGCTTGCTAGTCTGGAATATACATTGTGATTGTAAAGTACATTTAGGTAAGTAAAATTCTGATTTGGAATCTGTTTGTTTTCCAAAAGATGTGAATTATTAGAACAAATAAATTAAAGGATTTGAAAATTTGTAATAAGATTCATAAAAACCTCACCCTTAATATGTTCACACTCTTAACCCTATCGTTATGGGTCAAAGGCCATGTCATTGTGTTTGTTGACTTGCATTCAAAATTTTATTGAACTACTATTTTATGAATTTATGTCAATAATTTTGGTATCAAACTGTAGATTATAATTCAGCTTTTAGTATTATATATTATTAAATTTCTTAATTTAAAAGTAAATATTAAAAAACACTTAAACATCAATTTTTGTGTTTCATGTGGTATGTTGAATGCAGCACTGGTTCAAATTAGATGTTTATGATGTTAAAATACAAAGACTGTAGTTTCATACGAATTAGGAACTCAAATTACCGATATTAACAAGCTAGAATATAAAATAGGAACCTTCTATCTTTCTTGTTTGCCAAGATATTGCTCATGTACTGAAGCAAACACAGTGGTCATACTCATCTCTTTCTGTTTTTGGAAACGGTCCCGTATATACAGTTACTTCAGTATATGATGTGTGAATAACCACTTGAAAGCTCAGAATGTTCCCCTAGTAGCTTTCTCAGCCATTTCCATATGTTAGGATGCCATCTCGTTCTTTAGAAACAAGATTTCAAGGAGCTAGGTTGTGTCTTTAGTCTGCTTGAAATTACATATTTTTGTAGACCGAAGTACAGCTTAGTTACTAAACTTGTTAAATTATAATCAATTGTAAGTATAATATAATTGTGTTTTCATGTTATAATTTGTAGTCATTCTATAACGAAAAAAGCATAACTTATATTTATTTCCTAATGTTTTATAGTGGTTACAAGGTCAGACAAAATGACAGACCCCATATAGTTAGGGTAGAGAAAATAACAGACAAAATATAAAGTTTTACTGAAAACAAATGTTTGAAATGTATTTTGGAGGTTTTAGAGATTACACAAATAATATTTGAGATTGTTGGGATGAAGAAATAGTTTTTTAATCATGACAAGAAAATCACTACACTTGGACTAGATTTGATGTTTTCACAAACAAATCTTTAGTAAAAATACTTCATTGAAAAATCTGATTTTTTTAGTTACAAAAGACTTGGAATCATTATTAAAAGACTTGGAATCATTATTAAAAGTCTACTAAATTTTGTGAAGATACACTTACAGCATTAAAAGTTATAATATAAATACATAACGTGTGCAGATGTGTATATGAACTTGTGTATTATATACTGAGCCTGTCGCTAAAGGGTTAACACATTGACACACCAGTGGTTCACAGACAATTATGTTTCAAAGACAAATTTCTCTTATGGCATACAAGTTTGGGACACTGTGACTGCTCTTTGGCACCTCTTGAATGTAAAATTTTATTTATACTTAATTTATTATATGGCATCGAACATGTTAAAATATAACTAACAAGTTTTATTACCTGTATATATGAAAATTTTATCTTCTCACAGAGATTTTCTAACTTTAGTCTTTTAAGCTGTATTCTGATTTTAATAAATCTGTGATTTTCTACTTTATATATCATTGTTTTCTCTTGTTTTTTACAGATATGTTCTTTTGCATAGAGGTTGACTCTTATGGACATTTCTTCAAGAAAGCCAAAACAAACACGTCAAAGAACAGCATAGAACCACAGTTTAATGAGGTAACATAGATCTTACATGAATGAGTTACAATTTGGAATGTGGTTTTGATATTTATTTTCTTCTATATGGAGAACTACTACAAAGAGTTCTTGAGAACAATTAAACTCGATGGCACAAATCAAATTAATAAACATATATTATGTACAAATGGACATAAATATGCAGGAAAGTATTTAATTTATTCAAGTTATGATAAAAAAGACAAGTATAAATAACAATTTGAATTATAGATTTATGAATAGTTCATATACAGAGAAATAAGTGCAGATTTGGAAGTTTAATTTAAAGAACTTGTTAGTAGTCATTTCAACGTAAACTTTTGTATGATAAAGTGAAGAATGTTAACCAGTCAGAGGACATGCTGTTTCACTGTATTAATGATACAGTGGACATGGCATTTATTGTGAAGGAGTGTTTATTTTTCAGATTATAATGTCACCCAGTCAGAGAACATATAGAAAACTATAGTATCTAGAAAGCATTATATAAAGTCTTGAAAGTCTAGGATGTATAATTTTAATTTGAGACACTGGTGATAAAAATTGGTTATTACTTAAAAACTGAACCAAATGTTTTGACATTGCCTGCCATCTTCATCAGACAGTGTCTATGGACGTGACACCTGAAATAAAAATGCATGGTTTAGTTTCTAACTTAGTTTCAGCTGATTTCATTAGCTGATGTTAAAGTGTACAATTAGGCCTGATCTTTACTCAGCTGCTGTTGAGTGTTTTAACCCTTTAACATTGGGTAGGTTAAAGTGCATATCACAACATTTTAAAAATTTACATTCAAAATTTAATTAAACTACTTGATAACTCATTCACTGC